ATGATTATTAAAGTACATACATTAAACGCAAGTCCAGGTATTAGATATATGATCTTGCACACCACATGTATTTCGCCATCAGTTCAACATTATTTGCGACGTGTGGATTACTTTTAACATTTCCACTGAACGTCCAGTTGCTCGTACACAAAGCTTTCGGGCTGGTTTTCTTCTCGAACAATTCCAGCTGGTCGACTGCTTGTCCGAGAATTAGGTATTACTTCCTACTTTTATTAGATTTTATTAGTTTTCGTGTTGTTTTTTTCGCTCGCAGCTTAAAAGAGAATTAATTTAAATCATTTGTATTTCCCGTAGTAGAATCCAATGGGAATTATATTCCGGATATCGATAGAACATCTAAGGGAAGCCACCAGGACAGAAGGATTACGTCTTAAAAAACGTCACACTAGAAGTTATTGGCGCGATATTCTATATTTGAACGTTGGACGGTAGGTCGCCTCTTGCTCAATGGTCGCGTTAACAGTGGCGATATTTTCTTTCGTTTACCAATCTATACCAGCACCACACTACCGAAACGTTAAAACTTGAGTTGTTTTGTTCTATCTGTTATCTATATTGACTGAAGCACTAACAAACCAAATTTTATCATGTAAAAATATTTCAGCACATGGTCGAACAAAGTGCTTATTGAAAATGTTTATATTACAATTTGTTTTTGTAGATTTTCAAATAAATTTATTGGTGAAATTTACGTATTGTATGTTTCAAGGTATATAAATCTTTCCATTAGAGCTGTAAAATCAAAAGCGTTTACAAGAGATTAAAAGCTGTTTTTTTTATCTACCTGTGCCTTTCACTAAATGGTTTGCATGCTCAAAAACTTGCAGTTTCCAATCAGGAGGACTGTTAATTAAAAAAAAAATAGTGTATTGATTTCAATAAAATGAAGTGGTACATAGTGCTATATTTTTGAATCTGTAAAGATTTCGACTACATATGAAAATATAGTCCCTAACGTTTTTCGTTTTTGTTTGGACGGGGCTAGCTTTTATAGCCACTCTAATGCAGAAAAGCTTGACAGCATTGCCCTGTTGGCCTTTCCTTCCCGAAGTAAAAGGTTTCTTAGAAGCTGCATACTCACTAAAGCCGCGCAGGCCCTAACTGGGGACTTTTCTTTGACCTCATGTACCTTGTTCAACTCTCCTATTGAGCCATAACAGATACGGCATCACCTTCAAAATAGAAGCAAGATATTGAGATCATTCGTCACTTTCAAAAGACCACCACTCATTAGCTGTGCTATTATAAATTATAATGACAAAAGTACACTATCCAGACTTTTTAACCTTTTACGCTAGCCTACATTCATATATTCATCATAATTTCTTTCATTTCCGGTTGCACCGCACATTTTTTCTCTCATTCTGTTTACAATGTAGGTTTTTAGATATTTGCCTCCCCCAAGATATATGCGCCACTGTCCTGGCCAGTATCTGCGTGTATTATTAGCTATTAGATAAATATAGCTTAGGGCCGATATCACGAAGATTTAAATTTGACGGGGGCTTCCACCAATAATGGAGCAGCTTATCGAAACGCAATTTGACGGTACCTGTCAAAGCTCTCCTAATATCGCTGATTTCTATTTAAATATTGAATAAAATCGTGAAAAAGCGGTTGCTTTATAAATAAGGGTACATTATAGAGGTAATATTATATCTTTGAGCTTTAGAATTAGGATAACTTCCATAGAATTTCCAATTTCTGTCATTTCACAACCAATGGACCAATGAAAATGCGAGAAATAGTAGGCCGATTTTCTAGTTATTATATTTAATATAATGTTTTCACTGTTTTTGACTACTGTCCATGCATGGCAATCTAGTCTTATCTCTATATCTCATACAGGGTGTTGTACATAATACGTACGTGTAGAAATGTACAGTTTTTTTTTATTTTGCAAAAAAAAGGATATAAAACGTATTCCAACTGGTTCAACATATTTTGTTACATCAAATACAATTTAGTTGCCATTTTGTGATTTAGAAATCCACACAAAATATGAACAAACAGCAGATTCTGCATTTCTTTGTCCTAAAACATCGATATTTGTAAATGTATCCGCATCCACCTATTATTCATCGTCTACATATTATATGTCAAAATCAAAAATACAATGTGCATACTGGTCGCTCTTTCAAAGTACTTGGCAACCATTCTGGAAACTCGTTTTTAGATTCTTGCTTATAGGATTGTGAATATTTTTCTGTTTTAGCCCAGAACTCATGAACTCACCTCACATTTTAATTAAATATTTATTTTGAAAACAGACGGGTTTCGGTTTCTTTATTGCTTGTCCGGTGATGCGGTAATGACGGTAATCTACCAGTCTGAACCTTTTAAAAAATCAATTCAGGGCAAGCGGAGTAAGGGATGAGGATTTGCGTTTGTAATCATAGGCAACCCAAATCTACGTCTCTCATGTGCCCGACTGCCTGAGTGTGTATGCATATTTATGTATGATTGATATGGAGCATAAAATTAACTTTTAGCTTTATTTTTGGTTCCAGCTCTTTTTCGGCAAGTATGGAAATATTAAAATTATTTTGAAAAATCGTGAAAGATTACGTTTTCGGTAAATATTCTCATTTCGGTAAAAATACCAAAAAATTCGGTTCAAGTCCATGCATAGACAATCTGATACCTTTAATATGAATTTATATTCTAGATTCTATGCATATCCATTCATATTCGTCAATATTCCGTTTGAAGCTTCTATTTTTCATAACATTTTAGCAAAGTGTAAAATAGTAAAGGCCACACCGCACCAGCCCAGTTGACAAGAATGACAAGCTGTCAAGATTAGGGATGATGAAAGTATCGATATTTATCGATTCTTATCGTTTTAGGAAGTATCGACACTCTAAAATATGGGAATAAAGTTATCGATATCCAGCGGATGGAAACAAAGAAGAAAAGTAATCTGACGTTAATAGCTCTTTCTGATACAGTCCGAATCGAAAGATGGCGATACTCGAGAAATGTATCGACACACCCAAGTGACGTATATAAAAATATCGGTCCAAAATATCGGATATGGGAAGCAAAAGTAACGATACTTCTAAATATAGGATCCTATCGAACATCCCTACTGTCAAGATGTATAACCCGAGGTACCAACGGAGCTGTATGGGGCGTCATGGAAATAATTTTCATTTATATTTTTTCAAGTGTTGTGCAACGATTTTGGGAAAAATTCGATGTATAGTCTTATAATGCTTAGTAGAGTATATTTCAACAGTTGGAGGAGCTTACTCCACTGGGACCAAGCGTTGACGGATCCCACACATGTGTCACTTGTTGAGGAGTTTTGAAATATAATAATCAGCTGTTATTCAAATAATGTCTAATATAAATATAACCTAGAATGTGTACTCAGTGAAATAAGAAAGTTATTGCAAATTCTAGTTTTTTGCAGGTTTTAGGCTTGCCGGTAGCTTTACGACATATATTTGGGTCTTTCTTAATCGCTGTAAATATAATGAGGATGTTTGTTCAGTTCCTGAACAATGAAAAATATTCGACTTGATGGATGTATGGAGATCAAAAACCATGAGTGGTTTTATGGGAATATCAATCTATAATGGTACTGATCAACAGCAAGTAAATGAATGAATGTTTGGTAACGAGCAATATCTATGAAATTTTTGGTAGAGCCTATCATCAAGTAGGTGCTTAATGGCTATCTGCAAGAGGTTTATAGGAAAAAACAATCGTCAATATTAAAAAAAAAAACACGGATGTTATTCTAAAATCACTTTTTTAAATTTTGAATGAATTATATGTAATTTCTGTTTACTCAGTAAGCTGGTGATGTTTCAATGACAAGCTGTCATCTCATACCTTGACAATATTTTGTTTTTAACATTTCATAGCTATTCGTTGTTAAAATTTGTTGATTGGAACTTGAAGCTCATTCGCTGTATTTGACAGACTGTTACCCTATAGGTGTATAATAACGGACTGTTGATTTGACAATTCTGGTGAAATCCACCCTTAAAGTGTTAAAAAATTTGTAGATTTTTTGTATGGAAGTATTTGATATAATCAAATGGTTGACACATTGGTTTTGCCGTCTAACTGTATATGATAGACATTTCATGGTACACGGGGTCCCAAACTAATTCAAATGGTAATGATTCTCAATTCCACGCTTACATCGTATTAATCACATCTGGGAAATGCTCTCCCTGTAATTTGCTCATCCTTAGTCGCAATGCGCATTCACTAAGAAACCTCGTAGCCTCGTTTCCTCCATTTAGGTTTTAATAGAAAGTAGGAGAATAGATTACAGAGGCGACTTAAGAATATAATAAGAAGAAGCACATAGCTGCAATATATATGCAAAGCTCGGCCACTGTTTACCCTCTTTAAATGCAGACCTCGTTCTAGTTGTACAGTTGCGATGAAAAATGTAGAAACTAGGCAAACCGATTTATAAAAGCATTTGGCTATGGCTGTAAATCAGAGGGCTCCGAACTATGATTTCGCAGTGATGGATTACCTAAACTGGAAAAAATCCCCAGTTCCACATAGAATAAATACATGGAGATTAAAGATTATATTTACGTCAGCTACATTCTCATTTTTCCTACAATTCTTTGCGTTTTTTATGTTCACGATCATTCTAGATACATTTTTTTGTTTTTAGTTAATAGGATTTTAAGGAAGTGCTTGAGTATTAAATCACAACTTACAGTGCCTGATATTTTTACATGTGCAAGTTGATGCGTGATCATAGTTAGGGCTAGTTTTTTCCGAAAAAAGATTACATGCCCGAATGGTATTTGACAAGACTATTTCATGAGTAACAAATTATTCTACATACACATAGCTTACAAAACATGCCACCTATTATACATGCATACATAATAAATATAACTACAAACTTAATTATTTATGGTACAATTAAAATATAAATTGCAATTTTGGTACACAGTAGGAGTATTGTTTGAAATCTTTATTAACTCTTTAATAACGTTGGGTGTAGGCAAATCATTAATGTTGTTGATGGGTCCAGCTGTAGAGTGACGAGCTCGAGGAGTGGCTGCAGGATCTTCTGTTTTCTGTGTTTTAGCTAGAGGTTCTGAGGCATCACTTCTAAGGGTGTTTATGATTTTGGAATAATACTCATTATCCATTTGCAGATCAGTTTTAGTTGAGTTGGCTGAACTGTGGCCAGTAATTTTAATTGATTGTTTAGCTTTAGCCAGGTTACTGACTGCTGTCGACCGCATAGAGTGGTTTGTTATTTTTATTTCTTTTGTATTTAATCCTGCCTTTTCTGCTGCTTCTTTAGACCATTTCGAAAGTCCGTTTTTTCCCACTGTGGTGAATTTGTTCCATCCACTTGATTGTTCTTTGGTATTGTAATTTTTCGTGTCAACAGCTATCAAGTTTTGTCGCGGGTAAACTCGCAAAAACTGCTGACAGGTGCTGTCATACAATTTTTCCACCTAGAAATCATTTGTAATTCAAAATTGCGCATTTGTGATTGATACAAAATAAGACGAGGGAAATAGTCACGTAAAAAGGTTAGGTTATAAAGTTGATAAATTCATGATGGTTGTGTTTGTTGTATCCAAATATCATTTTATATAAACAAATAGTTATGGAAATGCTCATTAAATTTACCATACATAACACTTGAAGAGACCTAAAACATTTATGCAAAATTAGAAGTATTTAGTTAGTTTTGGAATGATTTTCCTGGTGATGTGATTGTATCCTTTCCAATTTTATAGCGAATAACAAACCCACAGGGCAGAGCTGAATCATAGGAAATCATAATTGCAATCTGCAAATTAATAGGCAGATTATCGTAATGATTACAGTGACTTAAAAAGAAATGGCATTACCAAAAACGACTTTACAAAGATTTCACAGAGACTGTATCTACTTATATTTATTTAATGCTTTTCCATAATGTTCAATTTTTTTAGTGTTCTGTTCACCTTTTTATTCTCAATATAGGTTCTTTTAATAATGTCCTGAGTACCTACGTTCTTTTTTGAAATATAGTGATATATTTCTTATTTTCAACTGCTTCCTTCAAGTTGTCTAGTTTATGGACAGTTTTTCTTCATGAACATTTTTCTTAAATTTACCGTCATTATTATAAAAAACTTACGCTAAATCTGCATATTGTCAGTAATGATTAAGATGTATAAACACGTTAGTACTATCAAGCGTACTTTACAATTGCAAATCTGCTTACATGTATTATTCCAGGTCCTCTCTGTGGGTTTGTTATTTGCTATGAAATCGAAGAAGCATACAATCTTCGTAACTATTTTCCATTATTCACTTAAATTTGGCACAAAAACCAAACCGTTCAAAAGGACCCCGTACAAAATATAGAAAATGGGTACCACTCGATTTAACTAAGAGTTCAGTATAGTAGTTTTCTCACCTTCCTAAATAAAAGTTCTCATAGGACCAAAGCAATTATATGATTAGTTTCTGAGAAATAGGCGGATAAAGTTTGGACGAACTCCGAAAATGGTGAATGTGTCAACTCGGAGAATCGGTTTACTGAAAAAGGTATTTATTAATCAATCGTTTACGAACGTGTTAGGAGGTGTCATGTTAATCTTGAACATGATCCTTACAAGATCAATATAAGGGCGAGTCGATTTTCATATATTAATTCTGGAATAGATACAATAGCACAGTTCTCTCCTCACGTACACAGAAATGTCGTGGTTGTCTCCCTGTTTTTGATTATGACCTTCACTAGATTAAATCAAGGTCAGGTTTTTCTAAACATGGATTGGAAAGCGTGCTAGTGTGAACATTGCTTTACTAACTACTTTACACTGGTCAATAAATAAAGCTATAGGTGTTGAACCGACTAGTTTGGTGCCTGCTAAACATTCAATTAAACACTGACTTTTATTTATTTAGTCTAGATGACAGAGTTTATTTGTTGTAATCATCGATATAGACTATCAAACAATCTGGGAAATAGCTAGGCTAATTGCTTAGGGCTAAGAAGTACTTTTCTCTGTGTGACCTCATCACTCTATGCAAGGCCCAGATAAGACCTAGCCTTGAGTATCGCTCACACGTTTGGGGTGTTGCCTACCCGACTACATTATTCATGATCAATGCTGTCCAGAGGACGGCTGTCCGTCTGAACGATAACTCTTCTCTGTCTCGAGACCTTTTCGCACCGTCGGCAATCTGGCTCTTTTCTACCGCTACACCAACGGGCTTTGCCCCTCAGGGCTCTCCTCCATGATGCCGCCTCCTGACTTCGGCCTCCCACCCTGTACGAACTCATTCAGGTAATAGCATTGGAACAAATAGGCATTGGCATTAAGCGCTTCAAGCGATGTAATAATGGTTTCAGTTTATTACTATTTTCAGCATCTAATGAAGTCAGCTCATATAAGCTCTATAATTCTGACCGACGCAGTATAGATATCCAAAACTGGAACGCGTTTTACCCTATTTAAATGCATACCCAGTTACAGGGCATATATGCACAATTAGTTCGGAAGAATAAGTAGTGCAATTATTTTTGGTAAATTGCAGCGAGGCCAACTAATGGAGGATATCTTACAGGGTAATTGATCCCCTTAATACACTACTCGAGGTTCATCTTGAGTGCAATCAGCTAAATTAAAACAGATACTGCAGTGAATCACTTTAATAGGGATTGTCTTGGAGAAATTAAAAGGAAATTGGACATCTTCAAATAGATTTCATTAGAAAAGATACTGTTGTAGTAGTTGATGAGCTCTATACTATGCTAAGGAAACATTTTACAAGACTGATCATGTGCGTGGAAACGCTTATTAAATATTTGAATGAACATTCTATTTAAAATCGGGACATTTTGATGCCGACGCGACGCATGAGCAATAAAAATACAGTGGTATAAGAAGTTTTTCAAATCCAGTACTACCGACCTCTATGCCGCACAATGGGGCTGGAGCCTGGTGTGTCTGTCCAAAACCTCTAGAGCTCTAAGAAGCGGACAAAACTGAATCTAAAGGGCGTTATGATCTACATTTTGGGTTATTTGCTACAATAAGGGTGGATTTCACAATTTAACAAACCATTATTCTGCACCAGTAGGGTGAGTACCAAACAGTCCGTTAAATATACCCAATCAGCCTCAAGATCTCTCCGTCAAATTTTTGGGCAGCAAATAGCATCAAGGTATTCAAAACAAAACAGTGTAAAATATGAAGTGACAGCTTGCCATTGAAATCTTTTTAGTTTATTAAATATTATGAAATTATGTAAAACTGAGCCAAAATTTTTAAAAAAGCTTGGTGTCTGAGTAAAATCAATTTTTTCAGATTAGCTGAAGCTTTTTCCATGTTTACTGCAACTTTTGTAATCCATATGTGATTATATCACCTACTGTGTGCTTATAGTTTATCCTATATTTGCAAACTTGCACTTCCAAACCCTTACATGAAAAAGCCTTTTCACTCAAATTTTTGTTAGGTGTTGCATTTCAACACATTCATACACTTCTTTCCAGTTCCTCAACGATATTTTAACCCCACTGGTCCGAAACTGTTCAACAGTTTCAACATTAATACATACAATTGCGGTTGCAGTTTTTTGTTTTAATTTCAGTGTATAATCAGTCACACCATCGGTGATAGTACATTCAACATTACCACGTATTTAGGGGTCCGTGCAGATTTAACGTGTACACGACAGTGTAATATGTATTTCTTCACAAAAAAATCTTGGAGGGAGCACTTTTATACAGAAATTTGTTGTTAAAAAATTCCATTTTTCACACATAACAAAACAAGTGATCACAAAACATAGAATACAGTGACATTGGAGAAGGAGAATAGACCAAAGGAGATCGGAATTGACATTTTAAATTAGTGTCTCATAATGTTAGTGATGGGAGAATACATTTGCGATCAGTGGAATGTATTGGAACGGTTAAAAAATATGAATTGATTCGTTTTTACGTTATCTCGACTGAAAGACTGGAATATCTGCTCTGTTTTTGTATATATATTTTTTTTGTGGTTTTGTTGCATAAAGTAGTTGGTTCACGAACTAGAACTGAACGCAACTTAATGAAACGAACTGGAAATCACATCACTTTTTCAAGTAATCCAAGAAGGGACAAATTGTCATTTCATCACACTGGTGATGAGAGAATCGAAAGCCTGAGATTCGCTTTGCTTCTGTGGCTCAGAGATATAGTGTTTTCTTCTGATAAAACTAGCGCAGTTTTTGTGTTTAAAATACTCTACTTTAGTTAATACCTTTGATCCTAAAGTTGCTCACATAACAATATTAAACAACTCTCATGTCGTGTCGGGTATTTCTCTGAGAAACTGAAAATCATTAAACGCGCTGTTTTCAGTCTATTTTATTCTATCCCTTGGGGACGTACAGAATGAAGAAAAGCCTACAGTGCTCAGTGGCCACTCAGTGGCTCAGTGCTCGTCTGTAATGATAATATTCAAATACTACTAAACACCTAAATAGCTGTCTGGCCTTTCAATTTCGAAGCTACCAGTCCTCGCTTAGAGATGGTAGCACAGTTAAGGATAGACTCGGGGTATACGGTTACGGATGTTTATGATTCCTCTCGATATCGATATATCGTCATGAAACCATCGATGCGTAAAGATCGATGTTCTACGTCCGATGTATCGATGTTTTCGATACATCAATGTATCGTCTTTCGTCGCCATCCCTATATTGTATCCCCACCAGTCACCATTCAAAAACCTTAACCTCCAATATTTTATCACTATTTATAATTCCTTTTAGCTCTTATTTTTCAGTAATTACTAATAATTTTAGGTCTATGTCTACAGTAATTGCATTATGCACCTCGGAGATGTAGGGATTAACATGTTTTACACATATCGGTGTTTTAGGATGGGGACGACATACGGTTTTGATTGCTTTGAAGAAATTCATTAACCCATGAATTTATAACAAATGATTACTATTATGATGTAAAGAGAGATGAGGAATTGGTTGGAATACATTTTATATTCTCATTTTCTTGCAAATCCGCACAATTCAACAGGTATTGCCATGAATTAATAAACGACCAAACCTGCTGCCAAATTTAACAGCTAGAAAATCGACCTATTATTTCTCCCATTCCCATTCGCTGAGGGGGATAACGGATTGTTAAATTTAATCCTATAACATATCTCAAAATACATGAAAGTGGTCCTGTTTTTTCTATATAAAAGCATCATTTTGGAATCAAAAAGTGGTCTTGTTTATAACACAGTCGAATTTTCACGATTTTATTCAACATTTTAATAGAAATCACTGATATTCTGAGACCTTTGACAGCTTCCGCCAAATTGCATTTCGATAAGGTATTTTGCTATTGGTCCATACTATTAATGTTGGTGAAATCGGCCCTAAAACCACTTTCGCGTCTATTCTAAACTTTTTATGGTAACTCGATAATAAATAATTAAAATTCGAAAATTGTCATGTCGCGAAAACTTCTGACACTTGCAAGTTATTTAGAAGACATAAATAAATAAAGGACAATTGTAGTTCAATAAATTCACTATTTAAACTCACGGTTAAAGATCGACCATAACAATTTTCAACATATAAATTTCCTATTTTGTGAAACTAATAACAAAGGTTTTGAAGAAATTAGGATCGAACTGAAGACATCTAAATTCGTATCAGGTTTTACGAGCATGTTTCTACCTAAATCTGAGAAAATAATCGTTTCGGGCTTCATGTACCTTTTGGGTGTGTAGTGCTATCATAGTACCTTCCAGCAAGAGGGTAATGGGTAGCACGCATTAAAATCAAATTAACGATTTTTGATATCATAACCTACTTGATTGCTGGGCAGCCTAGCGCATCTCGTGCTCAAGCGCAGGATGCACGTGCAGAAAATTAATTTTCTCAGAAAATAACAAAAAATCGCTATGAATTTCGTTTTTTATCGGCTACAGGAATGGTCTGGTTTAACTTGATTTGGGTGACGAGAAAGTTTGGCTATATCGGGCTTTTTTAAATTTCTTTGGATATTTCACTTTGTTTATAAACAAGCATTGATTCAAAAGAAAAGGCAGTACACAACCACGGCTACACTTAGATTAAAACTGGTTACTTTATTTTCAATGATGGAGATTTCATTTCATGACCATTAATTTAGTTTCAGGTCGGCTGTTCTAGATTTAATGATGTAAACTAAGTGATTAAATTTCCGTTTATGAATCTCGCTGTATAAGTTTCCTAGAGGTACAACTGAAAGCAAACGATATATTACGCAAAAACCAAATGCAGTTTCGATATCGCATGTATGATCTCCCTAATAATGGATATGAGTTAATTACCCGCTACAACTGGTTTTTTGGGTTATGGTCAGATATTCCGGGCTTCGTACCCCACTATGCGTCGATAGCAGAAAACCATATGCTTTTCCAGACTCTAAATCATGGTCCGTTTGGATCAAACCACATAACATCTACTTTATGAGGGAATCTGTAATGCTAAGGTTTGTCACCAAGTTTTTAGCGCCATCCCTGGGACATACTCCGAACTTTTTATAGAACCTATACGAAATGGAACAAAAATATAGAATACTTAGCGCCATCTTTGGACTTCCATCTTACTCTGTGAGCTAAATTTGAATTAAATATTCAAACTATATACAAGATATTTTAAGTAAAATAAGGCTTAACCTGCTTTTATTTTTAAAATGTGTAGTTTTTTAATACAATACATAAAAATAAAATTTATGCAAGTTGTTAGTAATCTAAAAATAATCGGTTAACGATGTACCATCGCGTGCATAAAAAACTGGAACAGCAACTAATCCGTTATCAGACATGCATTGCCAAAGATCTGTTTATAAGGTAAAGTCATCGATAGTTCAGGTTATATGCGATGACCATGTGTTTTCTGCACTTGGTGGTACCTATGAAAGTATAAAATAATAATCTTCTCAAAAAAGGCATCGTATTTTGGAAATGTATGCCTTTTACTGATTGTATCAGTACAACCAGGCACCACGCACTTTTTAAATCTCCGCTTTCGATAAGCCTCCAATACAAAGATTAAGTTTGTAAATTTAAATTCAGTTTAACGCTCAATAGATATCAGTGTTACCGATACAAAGCTAATGAAAACGCCGGCGCCGCACAAAATTCATCCTTCACTTCAAAATTACGAATACATCAACGTCAAAGCATTGAACAGTGGACTGTAAAAAAAACGACGGAAAAATTCAGCATCAGCGCCACTCTGTGGTGGAACTCCGTACTAACTATATAAGAATATATGGTTGCCTACCAAACATACCTTCAAAGTCACTCATTTAACTTTCTTTTGTAAAGTAGGTGTTATGTATATGAAACTGTCGCCCACCTCATAGGTGTCTCGTTGTTCTATAGCTAATTTGATAATATTAACTCCTTACTTGGTCAAACTGGACTCCTACCAGCAACATATGTTTTTATAAAGTTGTCAGTCCACATACTTTTGGCAAAGTGGGACGTTTTTTTTCAGATGTAACATGACACGTACATCACGAGTAACCTTTCTGTCGGTCTGGGTGTCTGTCTTTCCGTTAGTGGTTGGCCTTTCTATAACTCAGGAAGTATTGCTAGGATTTTGGTTAGTAGGTTTCGAAAATCGATCTAGTGGCGGAGCTTCGGGCAAAGATCGGAAAAAAATAAAAAAAAAATTAATGCAGGTGGTAGGGGCTTATAAACGTTGATTCTTTGGTATTAGTGTATTATTACAAAGTGTATTTCCCCCATAATGTTACGCACCTGACATACATAAAAATCTGATTTTTCTGATACATTTGCGATTGCAACAGAAATAGTTTCATATTTATAAATATGGTGAATGTGTAAGATTCAATTAATTTGCAACTGTTTTTACATAAGTGAACTTGTCTATACAACTGTTCTATTTGTCTTTCGCACAAACCTAACCCATTAGTTTTTTATTATACATGTGTTAATTTGTCCAATTTTCGTTGCAACACTGACTACTACTACAGCAGGTTAACGTCGCACATCCCTTTTTTCAACAGCCTGTTTAGAGGAGCATTCTTAATACTTTTCGTCTGATTGTTTCGTGGTGGGTATAGGGATGAATGAAAAACAATGTTATCAATTAATTTTTTGTAGAAAAATGCATTTTTGTGTCTATTTTCGTCAATCATAACTTGTTAACAAATAATAGTACAACTCTTAAATTGTTTTTGAATATTCTCTAGTTTTGTAGTAGGATTGAGCGGGTGACTACTTTTTCTTAAAAAAATTTTGGATTCACTTGAAAATTCAATTTACTGCAAAATGAGTTTTCAAGAAACACTGAGAGTTTTTGGAAAAAATGAAACGGCAAAACTAAGAGTAATTAATTTTTCGCTCAATTATACTTGTACTTTCATTTGTTGGTGGTTAATTGAAGAAAAAATGCGCAAAAAAATCGACAAAAAGTCATCATCTCTACACATTCCAGAGGGTAATCCGGCAGTTGCTCTGATTTTGTATAGGTCTGGTCTGTTAGTAAAGAAACGGAATTATTAAAACAAGAAGCATTAATGTTGGATTCAACCCTATAAATCATACTACTCTGTCATGTTTTCGCATAGCGGGAAACGGACCATCTGCGATGAAATTTGTCGTAATTTTTTGTAATCTACGGCCGAGTTGGAGCCATCCCTCCTCATTAGCGCACAAAAATGAAGGCGCCCGCCCCACAGAGCAAGAGGAAGGAGTAACGGAAGCCGCAGATTTCTGAAATTGCTGCCGCTTCTGCTAGGCGTCAACGCGGCCGTTTTCCAGGATTTATGCGGTAGGGACCAACTGAAATGCGAGATCTGCGGTTTGGAACTCCGAGGAGTTTGAGGGATGATGCTCTTCAACTAGAATATGCATCTGGCGACAGTATAATCCAGACAGTTAGGGTTCAACTTGGCTGATGCGGATAAAATAATAAATCGTCTTCATTTAGTAGGTTTAGCTTATAGCTGTTCTGCCACTTAACCCTTAACAAGAAAAAATTAACATAAAAATATGTAATAACATGTGCAAATTATAGTACACTAGTAGTGTTATGTAAATATTACATAAATCCGCTTATCATATCAAATTTACGTTTCAAAAGGACCTGCATAGCTCACGTTAATAATTTAGATATATGAGGTTCGATGATTGTCTTTAAATTTGTTGTTCAAAGTTTGTTTTTTGGAATCGTTGAAGTTCAGAAGCTTCATAGGCAGTGGTAATGCATTGTGTAGAATAAATGTATTATGAGTAAATCACTTATGGAAAAATAATGTCTTGTGAATATTCGTGGTTAACGTACTCACAAAACGAATATTTTTTGAGTGGGTACATCCACGAAATATAGTTTGTCTTTTAAAAATGGAGGAAATGATGTTATAACTTTTAATCAATTCAGTTTTACACAGTACGAGCTAATGTGATCATACTTTCATAGGTCAAAAATTAATATAAAAAAGGAATTTGCATGATATGTATAAGTCGCTTTAAGTCATTTTTGACATTTAGTTTCGCATAGACAGCAAAGCAATTTTTAGTAATGTAACTTACGTGAGGTATGAACTTAAGGTTCTTGTCAAAAAAGACCCCTAAATTATTTGCTGATCCCTCAATTTGGTCTTAGTATTTACGTTGAAGTTGGTGTTAGTGTAACTTCTAAGTCTTTTAGAAGAAAACATAATGGTACTTTAGATTTAGATAGATTTAACTGAAGGATATGTTCTGCGGCAGTTGTTTCAATAGATTTCAAATCTTCTGGCCTATTACTGTGATTAAAGCTAAAATATAGTTCTGAATCGTCTGCAAAAACTTGGATATATATATATATTTCAATTTTGTTTAAATCAGATATGTACAAGAAAAACAGAAGCGGTCCAGCCTTGTGGTACCCCCGAGGAAATCAAAGAAGAGTTTGTGTCAATAATGACTCTCTCAGACCTATTTGTCAGAACGAGTTATTACAGAAACCATAATATTTGCATTTAGATAACAAAAGCTCGATAAACATTCAGATGCCTTGGTGAAATCTAAAAAACTAATGGTGTCTCTTGTTGATGGTAGAGGCTTTAACAGTGCTATTGGTTAGGTTCTATGGTCCTCTAGCGGTAGTATAGCGTTTTCTAAAACCACATTATTTATCTGGTACTATCTTTATCTAGGTTCTATGTATATAAAAAATCATTGATTTGATAGATTGGTTTTTCTAATAATTTTGAAAGAAAAGTTTAAATACTTACAGGTGTTAAATTTGCGTCGTTGGATTGCTAGCTTTTGGTGAGGATGTAAGTTTCTCTAGAGTCAGGCTTAAAAATGGTTTCTCCGTAGTTGTAGGGGTTCTAGAGTTAGATATTGTGTGTGACTATGTGATGATAAGACCGATCTCACTTCAAACAGGTGGGGTCCAATCGAACGGAAATATGTAGTATCAACGGCTTAGTTCATCTCATTTTTATTCACTATTTTTTCTCCTGCTCAATTTCACTCATTTGTTCCTGAAATCATCATTTTTCTAATTGTTTTGTGGCGTTTTACAATGCAGTAAGTGACAAACACGTACTAAAACGTTACGAAATCGATACAGTCGAAACATCGATAAATGCAGGAGTTTGATATAAAAATCTATATCGGTGACAAGGAAAATATTCGACTTAGATATTTATAATTTATAATTTTGATCAGGTCCTTGTTAATTTTTTAGTTACAATATTTATGTTTTAGCGCCCTGAAGTATCGATTTTCTAAAGTTTGATTTTTTAACCCAAATACGATAATCTTCTTATTAAAAAAAAAATCTCAAAAAACCCTAGAGTGAAAAATGAACTAACCGCTAAAGGTATATCGGCTCTTATACTGTGGACTCTCACAAAGGGGATTATTTATGAAAATAATTTATTGGAATTTTTCAAATGCAGTCGCTAACTTCGCCTTGTCGGAGTGAAAATTAACCTTAAGGATCAATATTCTGAAATAAAACTTCGGTATCTTGTAGATAAATGTGCAATCTTTGGAAAATATTTTTTTCTCAGCGAAATTTCATATAGATTTTGCTGTGTTCAGAGTGGGCAAAACAATCTAAAACAAAGACTGAAGCATAAAAGTTGTTTTCTAATGACCATCCTCGCGTGCGTTACATATTGGTCCTTATTTTGGAGCTGTTCGCAAAGATATTGGGAAAAAAATTATTGCAAACCTTCTTGAACCCCATTTTTTTCTTTGTCTAAGTCCCCACTACAATAACAGAAAAACTTTATATTTTTAAGGAACTAATTTAGCGATAAAGTAAAAAGACAATATATCTTACATATTATGTATGTACTTTGAAAAAGTTGCTAGAGAGGCATAACGTCACTAAGGTAATTTATGGAGTGGTTGCATAGTTTCATTTTTTCTATAGGAAAATATATGTACAAAGCACTCATTTTCACTTGTTTTTACTTCCCACGCCTACTGGTGTGGAAGTATAGTAGTCGCAAAAATTTTAGAAACTGAGTATGTTTTTGGATGTTATATGATATGTACAATATGAAAAAACATTACACTCATTTCCGACGGTCTGTCTGTCTTTCGGGTCTGTCGGTCTGTCCGCTAATCTTACAAGCGCATATAACTTGGGAAGTACCGCTCCAATTTCGATGAAATTTGTACACATTATTACTACTACGTACTGGACGCAAAAGCTTTGTAGTTTGGTAATTCTGTACATATATTGGGTGATTTTTTTGCTAGTATCTTTTTGGCAACACTGTTTTTGATAGATGACGCGTGAATCGTGTCTTGTATCATTGTCAAACTTGTTCGGTTTGGTCTATAATTTAACCATGAATCGACTTACGAACGAACAACGCTTGCAAATTATTGAATTTTACTATCAAAATTCATGCTCGGTTAAGAGAGTGCATCGAGCACTGCTTCCAATTTATGGGCAATTTAGTCGGCCTACTGAGGGAGCTATTCGGAAGCTTGTGACTAAATTTCGAACCCAGTTTACATTATTGGACATTAAACCACCAACACGCAGACGTAGAATGAGGACTGAAGAAAATATGGCGGCTTTATCCGCCAGTGTTAGTGATGACCGTGAAATGTCGATTCGCCGACATTCGCAGCAATTGGGCCTCTGTTACTCCACTACGTAGAAAATTTTGCGACAGGATTTGGGTGTAAAACCTTATAAAATACAGCTGGTGCAAGAATTGAAGCCACGCGACCTCCCACAACGTTTCCAATTTGGTGAATGGGCGCTGGCGAAGTTGGAGGAAGATCCACATTTTTATCGAAAAATTGTGTTCAGCGACGAAGCTCATTTCTGGTTGAATGGGTACGTTAACAAGCAAAATTGCCGCATCTGGAGTGAAGACCAGCCAGAAGCATTGCAAGAGCTACCAATGCATCCCGAAAAAATCACTGTTGGTGTGGATTATGGGCCGGTGGCATCATCGGGCCGAACTTCTTCAAAGACGACGATGGCCGGAACGTAACTGTGAATGGCGAGCGCTACCGTGCGATGATAACAAACTTTTTTTGCCCAAAATGGAAGAGCTGGACTTGGCTGACATGTGGTTTCAACAAGACGGTGCCACATGCCACACTGCACACGAAACAATGGCCCTATTGAGAGGCGAGTTCGGTGAACAGTTTATCTCACGTTTGGGGCCCGTCAATTGGCCGCCTAGATCGTGTGATTTAACGACGTTGGACTATTTTTTGTGGGACCATGTTAAGGCTAATGTCTACAGGGATAAACCAGCAACGATTGACGCACTGCAAGCCAATATTGAAGCATTTATTCGTGAGATACCGGCCGATATGTTGGAGAGAGTGTGCCAAAATTGGACCTTGCGCATGGGCAATCTAAAGCGGAGCCGCGGCCAACATTTACATGAAATAATCTTTAAACATTAAATTATATCGACCGTTCTATCGACTCAAATAAAGATTTAATCGTTTTTTTCAAATTTTTGTGTTTTTTTTTTAAATAAAATCCTTTACCTCTTAAAAATCACCCGTTATTAGACTTCCCACCATCATAGATTCCTCCGTACATTAGCCTCTAACACGGACTGACGCCAGCCTTGGTTCTGTTGTTGTGGTATGGTATTCAACGTATTTCTGCCGCCTGTGTCTGAACGCACTGTCACGTCTGACATGGTTAGGTATCGGATAGAGTCGACGTTTCCAGATGCACTACCGGTAGGTATGGACTGGCTTTTTTCATAGAAGTTTTTCGTATTACTCAATCACTAATTTCAACCCACTTTCTTAAGATCTTAAACAATTACCGGCACGCAAATTTAGGGTAGCGTTTAAACAATATTTGTGCGATATATACATGTAAATCATTACCGAATCATAGCAGGTTAACAAGTAGGATAAGTAAGTTTGTAGTGTAAATGTAGCTAAATCTCGTCTTTGTAGATAATGGTAATAAAGACGATTATTATTGCTATTCTTATTGCTGTTAATATTATTATTAATTGTATGGACCTGTTTGGCTGAGTCTCACAGGGTCTAGTTTGTGCTCACCATATCATTTATGAACTGCTAACGACTTTGTGTGGTAAATGCAGACTTATTATCAACAACAACAAATTATCACTTGTTCCCCTTCCAAATTACCCGTTTCTCTCATATATATTTTTTTAATTCCGGCAGGAATGCTTCAGGGCAATATGTGGAGGAAACCTTTGTACTGTGAACCTACGTGACAATCATCCAAGCAGTAGTCGCGCTATTCTAATAGTGGCGTGCTCTGCAAAAGTATAACTGTTCACAGAACAGAACACTTAGATATGTACCAGTAACTCCGAACGAGGTGGCTATTAATTAATTATATAGAATCATTCTTTTGCCACTAGTCTCGAAAAAAATGTTAGAACTATTGTTATGCCGATTGACAATGCCAATTGTCGGGTCCGTTGCAAGATAAAAAGATGTACATGTTCCCGTATACGTGTCAGCGGTGTAACGTGCACTCTAATAATTTTGCTCATTAAACTGCATCGACAAAGTTCGGTATCCGTAATACTTTATTGATAGTCCGTCTACTATATAGCAGATTCGCAAAGTTTCTCGTTACTCTCTCAGTTAAACTACTTGTTATACGCTGTTCTGCACAAGTTGCATTAATTAATACAGCAATATGATTCCCTGGAGATACGGACCATGTTTAAGTTCCAGGATCTTGAATATTTATTGTGTATATAGAGTACTTCTCTGCTTCGCCAAACAAAATTAAATACTCAGATATGGCACTTTGACTTAAGTATTTATTCGAATTTGAAAACACTATACAAATAGCTTTGTATTAGTCAAGCTTTCAGACGTATTCGGGCTGTCCACAGATTGTGAATAAGTTCTTCTTAATAGAGAAGTTAGTTTCTTGCTTTATCAAACTTGAGAGGTTTGATTTTAGCTACGCTTTTTGACCCAAGGGTAGGGTATGTAATCAGTCGATAGCTCTGTCAAATAATTTAAAAAAGTAGCTCTACTCTGAGCTTTCCACACAACGGATAAAAATAGCTACGAAAAAAATTAACGCTCTCAATTCAGCTAATTATACGAGGGATGTCTTTTAAGTTTTTAGTAAACTTAAATTCAAAGTTTAACAACAGTACGTGCAGTATTCTCACTACAGTGAAATTTTTAAGTGTCACCAAGTCAGGAAAATCAAGTGGAAAAAAATTTCTGACCGATTACTACTACAAAACTTGACTTGAGTTTTCAGGCCACATGCGTTATTCAGTTTGTTTACCACATATATCACGTGCGTTGAATACCACAAAAGTTATTTCCCAAAACTAATTCGCCATCATAACTACTGCAAACAAAACAATTTACCCTTAATTAATGGGCAATAATTATTCCGTCTGCAATTTACATTCAAGGGAGCATGTGTTACAAGCTATAAAATTACAGCCACGGAGTCTACAAAATTTATAACGATATTTTTGGATGAAATATAGCATCAGCATCTCTCATAATTAAGGGCAAAAATGGAGGGCCTTTGTGCTGAAGATGCTTACAGCGAAAGTCACAGATTTCTCAAATGGCTTTTACTTTGTCAGTGGATGGTCCTTGATAGGAGAGTTCATCCTTTTTTGCTGGTAATGGAATTTATATAGGTACTCAGTAGACGCGTTGATACTGTAAAGATCTTATTCAGGTGAACAGAGCATTTTTATGGAATAGGCGAAATACGTAACATCTTAAATATTCTTGGTTTTCATTTAATAGTTGGCCAAATTCGGTCAGATATACATGGGGGATTAGTCGGAATATGTTTCTACTGCTTCTTGGAATAATGCTAAAATTAAAATTATCATGATTCATTCATCCACCATTCCAAGTGTTTTCCCTACTGCATTGAGGTCTAAAGGTCTTCTAAGCATTCTTTTGCAGTGGAGATATATTGCTACTTCAAATCACATCTTTTTGGTACTTATTTATCACATATACAAAGCTGTATGAACATTACACGCTGATGCTGAGGTAACGAGGATTTTTTTTTTATCTATGTACTAAATAGCTACAACTTGACAAGAAAATTATTGTTTATTAAATTAAATAAATATAGTATCAATTCTAATATTTCGTCTTGTCTATGAACGCTAGAATTGTCTTTGTACCACGACACGAAGGGCAA